TTAGTTAGTTAGTTAGTTAGTAGTAGTTAGTTCTTCGTTTCGTTCGTTCGTTCGTTCGTTATTGTTCTCCTCATCAGCTTCTTTCAAATCCTGTTCAGAACTTAATTTCTGAAACAATTTCTGCCACCTGTTAGTGTCACCTTATTTAAGTATTTCATTCTCAATTAATAAAATTAAACTGATTCTTATTTAATAAAGTAATATAAACTAAAGTACACTTTCATAAGGTGTTACTACAATAAGTAAATTAAAAACTTTGTAGACTTTTTAAAAATATTTTCAACATACTTACAGGCATACTTAGGTTAAACCTATTTATTAAATAAAATTATAGGCATAAAACTACAAATTACGTATGAAATTAAATTGTCACATTAACTTACATTTTAAACAAGTCGTACAAGTACTATGTAAAGGAATATAAAGTTGTCTCATACTAACAAATATAATAAGGATTAGGTTATCGTTCAGTAATTACAATTACAGTGACTTGCAACAACACGCTGGGAAATAATGTAGACCAATAATTTTTAACCTTCAGAATTGCTTATCTTAAGTATGAGCTGAGCTCATACTTCGGACTATACCTTTCTTCAGTCTTGACCATAGTCTATATAGAGTCTGGCATATAGTGTGCTCTATAATTTTGTTTTTAGTCTGGACTATAGTCTAGTGTGCGCTATATACCATGCTATAGAGGTATATTGTTTTGTCTGTACATTCTGGACATTAATTTTGTCTGGAGATTTGATCTTTTTAACTTGTACTTTTCTTAATTTAACACGAAATATACAATTTAGATTCCTTGTCGCCTGCAGCTTAAATTGTAAATCTGCCTTATTTTTTTTTTTTTCAACTTTATAGGCACCCCATAATTATCGCTATTAACATTAGAATTTTAACGACTTAACACCTCTAAATTTTCCTATACAAAATTACTTATTATCATTTAGCCCCCTTAATCACTATAAATTATTAGGATTTGAAAAAATTCTCATCATTTACAGTGTTAAACTCTCGCGTTAAACATGATGAGTAACTGGAAAGTATTATTCATTAATATCTTTCCTTCCAATCCGGAAATTGGTGAAATTGGTTCTATTAAATTAAATATATGGTTAGCTAATATAACGGGTGTGCCGATAATTGGTCTACAAAAGGAATCAAACGGTTTAAAAGCGTTAATTTTGTTGTATGGCATTTGTACGAGTTTTTTAGTGACATTTGCTTATACTGGTTTTGAAATTTATGATTTGATTTTGAATCTAGATGATTTGGATAAAATAACACAGAATATCTGTTTGTCATTGACACATGTTACGGGTGCTGTGAAGGTGTTATATTAATGAATAGAGTATTAGTAAAATTTATCTTAAATTTAACATGGGGATTTTTTTTGCAGATTATAAATTTGTTCTTTAGATACAAAGATCTGAAAAAGGTTATAGGCATGCTAGAGTATGTTACCAAAACTTATACCAAATCGAGCAAACAGGTAAAGACTTTGACATCATTCGAATAATAGTTAGTTACTTGTGGACCTAAAATTTAGAATATTATTTTTTTACAATTTCAGCTTGAGACCTTTCAAAACGGTGAACTGGAAAATAAAATAGTCTTATGTATTTACATAGGCATAGTAGGCACTACTGGATTTTTGGCCATGATCGTTCTTTTCATGCGTAAGTTATATAGTTTGGTCTATAGTGGGGACTATAGTCTGGACTATAGTTTTGTTTATAGTCAGAACTAGAGTTTTGTCTAATGTCTCGACTATAGTATTTTCTATATTTTTACCTACCTATAGTCGGGACCATAATCTGGAAAAGAGCTTTGTCTAATGTCTGGACTATAGTATTTTCTATAATTTGTCTATAGTTGCGACTATAGTTTTTTTTAGTCTGTACTATTTTTTATGCCTATAGTCTGGAATAGAGTTTTGTTAATGTCTAGACTATAGTCGGGATAATATTTCTTTTAGGCGAACTATAGTCTTGTCTATAGTCAGCACTACAATCTGGATATAGTATTGTCTATAGTCTGAACTAAAGTCTTGTTTATCATCTCAATTATGGACCTGTTTAAAGTCTTGATTACATACAGTTTGGACTGTAGTCTTGTCTATGGTACAGACCATAGTATTTTCTATAGTCTGGACCAAAATCTTGTTTATAGTCTCGATTATAGACTTATCTGTACTCGCGACTATAATCTTGTCTATAGTATGGACTATAACCTTGACTATAGTTTGGACTATATGTCAGGACTATAGCATTACTTGTAGTTTGTCTTTTCTATAAACTGGTCCTATAATTTTGTCTCGATTACAGACTTGTACATAGTTTGTATATAGTTTGGATTGTGGTCTTATCTATAGCTTAGACTATAGCCAGGACCATAGTTTTGTTTTCTATTATAGACTTGTATATAGTTTGGACTATAATCTTGTACATACTATATATTTGTCTGTAGTATGAACTATAGTCTCGTATATAGTTTGAACAAAATAGTCTTATCCATAGTTTTGTATACTATCTGGATTGTAGTATTATATAGAGTCTTGTCTATAGTCTTATCTGTAGTCTTATCTATAGTCTGAACTATAGTTTTGCATATAGTCTGAACTAAAGTATTGTCTATAGATTTGTTCACTGGACTTATAGTATTGTATATAGTCTGGATATATCACCTAAAGCCTAATATTTAATTTTCAGATCCTGAATCTGTTGCTGGTGAAATATTTCCATATCGTGTTATTCTACCCTCCTGGTTACCACTATTTTGGCAACTCATCTATATGGGTTTAAGTGTCCTAATATTTGCCATACAAATTGTGGCCGTTGATTATTTAAATGTAACCATCATCAATCAAATACGTTTTCAATTGAATATATTAAATTTGTCATTTGATGAATTGACCATTACAAACAAACAGGATACGAAGGCATTGGAGGTATTCAAAGGAGAACCATTAAAACGTTTGAATTCCATAATCGAACATCATTCTTTATTGAGGGAGTAAGTAAAAGAATGTCAGCATAATATGTTAAACTTGTTAAAATTTGACTTTCCAAATCTTTATTTTAAATCTACTTTTGACTTCGTTAAGAATTCGTCAACGGACAGAGGATATATTCTCGCAACCGGTCTTGCTGCAATTTTTCACGTCTTTGATGATATTTGCCATGACCGGTTTTCAGGCCACGGTCAGAACTGGTGGCAGCAATGGGGCGGTTTTAATTTACTTTTATTGTGGCTGCATCTTTTGTCAACTTTTCGTTTATTGTTGGTTTGGCAATGAAGTTTTTGAACAGGTAAGTTGACGACGGACTGACTGACTGAATGTATGACTGACTCCTTTTTAAGTTCTGTTTGTTGTTTTTTGGATTTTAATTTGTTATTTTATGGTTCTTTTGTTATTTCTTTCAATGCGTTTAAATGAAAAAAAAAAACAAAGAGTGGGTTTTATTTTTTATGGCCAAATAAGGGATTTCAATGACATTCGCATTTAAAGTTTGTGTTAAATTAAAGTTAAGCTTTTTTGTCTGTTGCCTGAAGAACATAACCATGTAGTTGTAGTTCTTTATCAATTACTTTTTTTATTGAAACATGTTTCTAAAAATGGTGCGAAATCAATTGCAGTCAAGCAAAAATCTTTAGAGTCGTATTTCAGTATGATTTAATGATAAGGAAAGGATTTTAGGGTGTTCCTTAAGGTGTAATGTTTATTGATTTATGGACTTACAAGCATACGGTCTGACATATAGACATATATTTTAAGATAAAGGACGGACTGTAGTCTCTATACTCATAAATAGGACAGACTACAGATTTGTCTGTACGTCACACTATGACGCGACTATAAGCCACATTATTATCTCGACTGTTGTCTTGACTATAGGCCTGACTACAGGCTATATAGTCTATAGACAAGACTATAGACAAGACTATAGACTAGACTATAGAAAAGACTATAGACAAGACCATAGACTAGACTATAGACAAGACTATAGACTAGATTATAGTCAAAACTATAGACTATAGACTAGACTATAGACTAGACTATAGTCTATAGTCTAGTCTATGGTCTAGTCTATAGACTAGACTATACACTAGACTATAGACTACACTATAGACTAGACTATTGACTAGACTATAGACTAGACTATAGACTAGACTATAGACTAGACTATAGACTAGACTATAGACTAGACTATAGACTAGACTATAGACTAGACTATAGACTAGACTATAGACTAGACTATAGACTAGACTATAGACTAGACTATAGACTAGACTATAGACTAGACTATTGACTAGACTATTGACTAGACTATAGACTAGACCATAGACTAGACTATAGACTAGACTATAGACTAGACTATAGACTAGACTATAGACTAGACTATAGACTAGACTATAGACTAGACTATAGACTAGACTAGACTATAGACTAGACTATAGACTAGACTATAGACTAGACTATAGACTAGACTATAGACTAGACTATAGACTAGACTATAGACTAGACTATAGACTAGACTATAGACTAGACTATAGACTAGACTATAGACTAGACTATAGACTAGACTATAGACTAGACTATAGACTAGACTATAGACTAGACTATAGACTAGACTATAGACTAGACTATAGACTAGACTATAGACTAGACTATAGACTAGACTATAGACTAGACTAGACTATAGACTAGACTATAGACTAGACTATAGACTAGACTAGACTATAGACTAGACTATAGACTAGACTATAGACTAGACTATAGACTAGACTATAGACTAGACTATAGACTAGACTATAGACTAGACTATAGACTAGACTATAGACTAGACTATAGACTAGACTATAGACTAGACTATAGACTAGACTATAGACTAGACTATAGACCATACTATAGACTAGACTATAGACTAGACTATAGACTATACTAGACTATAGACTAGACTATAGACTAGACTATAGACTAGACTATAGACTAGACTATAGACTAGACTATAGACTAGACTATAGACTAGACTATAGACTAGACTATAGACTAGACTATAGACTAGACTATAGACTAGACTATAGACTAGACTATAGACTAGACTATAGACTAGACTATAGACTAGACTATAGACTAGACTATAGACTAGACTATAGACTAGACATAGACTAGACTATACTATAGATAGACTATAGACTAGACTATAACTGACTATAGACTATAGACTAGACTATAGACTAGACTATAGACTAGACTATAGACTAGACTATAGACTAGACTATAGACTAGACTATAGACTAGACTATAGACTAGACTATAGACTAGACTATAGACTAGACTATAGACTAGATTATAGACTAGACTATAGACTAGACTATAGACTAGACTATAGACTAGACTATAGACTAGACTATAGACTAGACTATAGACTAGACTATAGACTAGACTATAGACTAGACTATAGACTAGACTATAGACTAGACTATAGACTAGACTATAGACTAGACTATAGACTAGACTATAGACTAGACTATAGACTAGACTATAGACTAGACTATAGACTAGACTATAGACTAGACTATAGACTAGACTATAGACTAGACTATAGACTAGACTATAGACTAGACTATAGACTAGACTAGACTATAGACTAGACTATAGACTAGACTATAGACTAGATTTTAAACTCGAATGTGTACCCGACTATAGTCTCGACTGTTGTTTAGAATGTTTCGCGAAGTGTAAAATTTTTTTAACCAGCCATTAAAGGGTTAATAATAAAATTCTCTTTTTTCCCCATAACACACTTTAATTAAGAGTCTATATGATTCTAACACTCCCTTAAATTTTCTCATTATAAACATTTCATCTACAGAGCAAAACTCTAGCCACCAGTGGTTTCAACTCATCGTGGTATCTTTTCGATCGGCGCTATGGTAAATCTCTTGTGGTCTTCTAACCAATGCCCAACGTCCATCATGTTTACAGCTGGCGGTTTTATGGGACTTTCTCTGCCAAGTTTTTGCCGGTATTTTGAGTAAATCGTACTCATATATAGCACTATTACGTCAAATATATGGAAGAAAATAAATAAAATAAAGAAAATAATAAAAACTACAAATCAAACAACACAACTAAAGAACCATTCATAAAAACAGATTGCTGGAAAAAAAATTTAATTTTCAATAAATTGCACTTATATTGACTAATTGATATTTATATGAACTTGAACTTTTTGCAAAAAGTTAAATTTAATTTCTTTGGAAATTACTATTAATAATTGCAATAAACTATTCTAATAAATTGTTTACAATCTTGACTTGTTATTAAACGGTTTGCTAATCTGGAAATTTATTTAAATTAACTAGTTGGAATAAATATTGGCGGGATTTTTTCCACTTTGGAAAATAATTACAGATTGAGTCATGTGTAAACGTTTAGCAAACAATTTATAATTTTTTTGAAATATAGTGGAAATAAATTTTGAAATTGTTAAATAATGTCAAAAAATTAATGTATTTAATTGATTGAATTTATTGTGTTTACAAGATTAATAAGGAAAAGGGGAGGCTTAAACAAATAGCATAAACTCCATTTGTAAAGTGTTATGGATAGCTCCTTCCAAATGCAACCGATTTTATATAGACATTTTAGAGAATAAAATAATACAAATTTCGGAAAATGATTTCATATGGTTGTTACCGGTTGTTGCTGGTTTATCAGCATAAACAAGTGACCTCACGTGGTTCCATAGGAAATAATCGAGGGAAGTCAAATCTCATGATTTTGGAGATCAATTGACGTGGTTGAGTGCCTAAAGCTATATTTAGGGAGAACATTTTGGTTATTGAGTATACTAAATGTGGGCTTAAGTCAAAAAGTACCATTTTGAGATTGTTGATATTTTTTTTTTTTTTGAAAATTATGGGATTTTGTTATGTAAATTGATATAAAAGTTTTTTTTTTTTAAATCGCAATAATAAAGTTGATGTATTTGAACTAATAAAAAATGTTTTATTTTAATGATTAAATTTCTTGTTTCATTTGTGAACGATTTATTTAAATGCTCTTTAAAATTTCAAATTGTTTGTACAATACTAAACATTTTTAATTCTATTTGTGTATACAAGATTTTGTATATGTATGGATGTATGTATGTATGATGAACTAATAAATTTTCAATTTGATTTTGTAAAATACATAATCTCAAAATAACAACACTGCTGCACACTTTTGAAGCACTATAATCGAGAGAATATATTGAGTTTAAGCTGGTGTTAGTAAGGCCTCGAAAGGTAGTCGTACTAAGTATAACATTAGCTATGTCTGTCCTTCCGTCTTAAAATCTAGTCTATAGTCTATAGTCTAGTCTATAGTCTAGTCTATAGTCTAGTCTATAGTCTAGTCTATAGTCTAGTCTATAGTCTAGTCTATAGTCTAGTCTATAGTCTAGTCTATAGTCTAGTCTATAGTCTAGTCTATAGTCTAGTCTATAGTCTAGTCTATAGTCTAGTCTATAGTCTAGTCTATAGTCTAGTCTATAGTCTAGTCTATAGTCTAGTCTATAGTCCTAGTCTATAGTCTAGTCTATAGTCTAGTCTATAGTCTAGTCTATAGTCTATCTATATCTAGTCTATAGCTAGTCCTATAGTCTAGTCTATAGTCTAGTCTATAGTCTAGTCCTATAGTCTAGTCTATAGTCTAGTCTATAGTCTAGTCTATAGTCTAGTCTATAGTCTAGTCTATAGTCTAGCTATAGTCTAGTCTATAGTCTAGTCTATAGTCTAGTCTATAGTCTAGTCTATAGTCTAGTCTATAGTCTAGTCTATAGTCTAGTCTATAGTCTAGTCTATAGTCTAGTCTATAGTCCTAGTCTATAGTCTAGTCCTATAGTCTGTCTATAGTCTAGTCTATAGTCTAGTCTATAGTCTAGTCTATAGTCTAGTCTATAGTCTAGTCTATAGTCTAGTCTATAGTCTAGTCTATAGTCTAGTCTATAGTCTAGTCTATAGTCTAGTCTATAGTCTAGTCTATAGTCTAGTCTATAGTCTAGTCTATAGTCTAGTCTATAGTCTAGTCTATAGTCTAGTCTATAGTCTAGTCTATAGTCTAGTCTATAGTCTAGTCTATAGTCTAGTCTATAGTCTAGTCTATCTAGTCTATAGTCTAGTCTATAGTCTAGTCTATAGTCTAGTCTATAGTCTAGTCTATAGTCTAGTCTATAGTCTAGTCTATAGTCTAGTCTATAGTCTAGTCTATAGTCTAGTCTATAGTCTAGTCTATAGTCTAGTCTATAGTCTAGTCTATAGTCTAGTCTATAGTCTAGTCTATAGTCTAGTCTATAGTCAAGTCTATAGTCTAGTCTATAGTCTAGTCTATAGTCTAGTCTATAGTCTAGTCTATAGTCTAGTCTATAGTCTAGTCTATAGTCTAGTCTATAGTCTAGTCTATAGTCTAGTCTAGTCTATAGTCTAGTCTATAGTCTAGTCTATAGTCTAGTCTATAGTCTAGTCTATAGTCTAGTCTATAGTCTAGTCTATAGTCTAGTCTATAGTCTAGTCTATAATATAGTCTATAGTCTAGTCTATAGTCTAGTCTATAGTCTAGTCTATAGTCTATAGTCTGTCTATAGTCTAGTCTATAGTCTAGTCTATAGTCTAGTCTATAATCTAGTCTATAGTCTAGTCTATAGTCTAGGCTATAGTCTAGTCTATAGTACTTAGTCTATAGTCTAGTCTATAGTCTAGTCTATAGTCTAGTCCTATAGTCTAGTCTATAGTCTAGTCTATAGTCTAGTCTATAGTCTAGTCTATAGTCCTAGTCTATAGTCTAGTCTATAGTCTAGTCTATAGTCTAGTCTAGTCTAGTCTATAGTCTGTCTATAGTCTAGTCTATAGTCTAGTCTATAGTCCTATCTATAGTCTAGTCTATAGTCTAGTCTATAGTCTAGTCTATAGGCTAGCTAGGTCTATAGTCTAGTCTATAGTCTAGTCTGTAGTCTAGTCTATAGTCTAGTCTATAGTCTAGTCTATAGTCCTAGTAATAGTCTAGTATAATAGTCTAGTATATAGTCTAGTCTAGTCTATAGTCTAGTCTATAGTCTGGTCTATGGTCTAGTCTATGGTCTAGTCTATAGTCTAGTCTATAGTCTAGTCTATAGTCTAGTCTATAGTCCTGTCTATAGTCTAGTCTATAGTCTAGTCTATAGTCTAGTCTATAGTCCTGTCTATAGTCTAGTATATAGTCTAGTAGTCTAGTCTTTAGTCTAGTCTATAGTCCTGTCTATAGTCTAGTCTATAGTCTAGTCTATAGTCTAGTCTATCGTCTAATCTATAGTCTTGTCTATAGTCTAGTATATATGTATTCTAATATATAGTCTGGTCTATAGTCTAGTATATAGTCTAGTATATAGTCTAGTATATAGTCTATAGTCTAGTTTATAGTCTAGTCTATGGTCCAGTCTATAGTTTAGTCTAGTAGAGTACCATTTCAAACAGTATTGATTGATTCATGTCGGTGTAGGTTGTCAAATAGTCGTGTTAGATTTATTTATTATAGAAATGTGAATCGAAAGAGGGCTGGCAGGAGTACATATTCGAAACTAAAACGTTTTTTTTTTTTTTTTGAAAGTGTTTGCAAATGTTTACATTTGGCCAATGATGATGAATGGATGGGTGTGAAAATGGGGTGTGCTAACTTGAGCACGTTAAGCCGATTAATGCAAAAGATTAAATAGAAATACAATCGAATTAAAACATAGAATGCAACAGCGTTTAATATTAAATCTATGGGTGTAAAATTCCAATTAATTCTAGTAGAACCGTTGTTTTGTTTAAAAATCAAATTAAAAAGAAATTAATTGTTAAATAAAAAAAAAACAAAATTAATAAGAAAATATTTGCAAAAAAGAAATAAACACATGTACCAACTATGTTAATGCTTCTTAAAGGGAATGGTGTCTGCCATAAATTAAATATTTTAAAATAAACTGTATTTCCATATGTCTCATAAAAATTTATAATCTCGAATAGTTAAGTATTTCTGTGTTAAAAAGTCTGTTTGATTTTTTTCTAAGTTGTAGCATATGTACATACATATGTATGTATGTTTGTTCCACTAAAGTCTGCCTCTAAATGTGTTTTAAATTTCAAGGATCATTTTCAATTGTTTTCGTCTTGTCTTTTACTGTTTTTCTGTGTTGAAACTTTTATTTGATTGTTTTGTTGAAATAAATGGTCATTACTGCCATTAAAATTTTGTGGCCACTTTCTGTTATAAAATTTCCATTTTGAGTTCATTCCAAATGTCTGCATACCATAAAGTACAAAAATATTTTATTAACTTTTTTCATTTGGATGGATGGATGGATGAGTCCATGTGCATTTAATATCTACGTCTAGATGTAAGTGTGTATGTAGGGAATATATATTAAAAAAATGTTATTATTTATTATTGTTATTATTGTTTTTGTTCAACTGAAATATGATTCATTAAGAATAATCTTATTTGTACACTAAAAGAAATAGTTTTACTGAGTTTACAGTTAGATCTGTAAATATCTGAACCGACAAGTATATTAGAGTATGTTAAAATAGTTCTTATCAGAAACGTTTTTAAGAAAATAAAGAGCAAACATTGCTCTAGGGCACGATTACTATCGACTTTCAGCTAAATAGCTCCAATAAACTTCCGATTAATTCCACTCTCATTTAAAGCGTTCTCTTTTACAAAAGAGAATTTGACAATATTTACTAATACCTAGAATAATAGTGTTACAATAAACTATGAATAAGGGGGGGGCCCCTTTCAATAATAAAATAAAAGTGTATAAATAAACCATTTAATGTTGAAGTCTTTGACTCGTTAAATAAAACAATTATCGTCTATTGTTAAACGAGCATTAACAAATGATTAAATATTGTTTAACTATGATAAATGTTATCTGACAATTGATAACTGAATTAACTTATCACTTACATTGAGTAAAGAAGTGGGCAAATAAACTGATCAAATAGGAACTTATAAAGAAGGTTCTTATAAAAAGAGAACATTTTCTTTTTAATGTGGGTATTAAAAGGAATTTTTTATAT